AAATATATATAAAGAAATGACTTCCAACCTTCATCACAACACATAAACATTTTTGTAACTTTTCACCCCCTTTTAGTTTACGAGCAATGATCTTTTCATCCCATATCCCATCTCTTATCTATAGACAAATCCATAAAGCGTCATCTTTTCAATCGTAGAGTCAGCAGAAAGCCCATTAAAGGTTACCAGAAATAACAAAATATTTTAACCTTGATCAAATCAACTTTATATTTCTTCCTTCTAACAGTCCATTCAAATGTAGAATTTGATTTCATTTCTACTTTGTCCCTTCTCACAACATTCTTTAAAACTTTTAACAATCCTCTTTTGTAAATCGAATATAAAAGAATTATGCAGATCACTCTCTTGGTTTGTTACTTGTATTTCCCTTTTGATTTTTAAAATATCAACCAGTTTCTTTTGTATGTCCAATGCGACATCCTTTTCCATGTCATTCTCATAACCTATCATTCGTAAATCTATTTTTGATGCCAACTCTGTCTTGTCAAATAGAACTTGTTCCTCATCTGCCATTTCTTCCAAAATATCTTTCAGACACAGTCTATTCATAGAAGCAAACATCACTATTGACATTGTTGATACTAACTTCTGATTCCATTTTTCAAAAGCGTCCTTCAATATTTTTAATGTTAAAATGTTTTACATCATTTTAGTGGTTAATCAGGCTTGTGTATTTTTCTCCTTTAACTAAAACTTTTAGTTCCATCTAATGTCCAATTTTTAAAATTGCTTATCTTTATTTTGTCTTGGAAAAGTCCAAACAAATCTATTTCCCACAGGAAGGATTCTTTATAATTAATTCCAAAATCTTATTCCAAATTTATTTGGACCCTTAATCCATTTATAACTTTCTAGGATTAAAGTCTTACTTAACTTTTTGCTGTTTATTCAAACATTTAAAATTCCTAAAATTATTATTAAAATTTTCTTTCATGAAGGGTTGAAGGAAAACTCACCTGGTGTTTTTAGACTTGTTGATCTGAAGGTCTCTTAATAGCTTAAGAGTAGTTAACAAGCAATTTCCAAACATGATTAGAAAAGGAAGTTTGCGAACTTAGTGTTCTTTAAAGGGGGCCAACCACAGTTGTGAGCAAGATAGCTATTCCCATGGTTTCCCAGTGCTCAAAACCCACTGGGGGCCACTGTCTTGCGGTCTCCTCGCGAGCATCAACTCTTTGGAGCACAGGTGGGCGATCTCTGTTTAGAGCGGAAGGCAAGAGAATAGCCATCTTGCTCAAACCATGGTTGGTACCTTTAAGGACACTGGTTGTGCATACTTCCTTTTTAAATTGCTTTCAGAAATTGCTTGTTAACTGCTTTTCAGCTATTAGGAACCTTTGGGTCAACAAGTCTGAAAACACCAGGTGAATTTCCTTCAATCCTTAGTGAAAGAAGTTTTAAATACAAGTTTAAGGACTAAAAAAAGAAAAAAAGAATAAACAGCAAAAGGTTGATTAGAACTTGATTTTGGAAAGTTACAAATGGACTAAGGGTCCAGATGGATTTGAAATAAGATTTTGGAATTATAAGAATCCTTCCCATTGGAAAATGAATTATTTAAAAAAACATCATAGGATGCGACTTTGAAGGTTGGACACTAGAGGGAACCAGAAGGAACTAAAGATTACAATTAAAGAAGGAGAACAAAG